GGGGGTCCCTGGGTGCTGAGGTTCATGGGTGAGGGTCCCAGGTCCATGGATGGGGGGTCCCTGGGTGCCAGGGTCCATGGGTGGGGGGTCCTCAAATGCCTGGGTCCGTGGGAAGGGTCCCAGGTTCATGAGTGGGGGTCACCCTGCGTCCCCAGGTCCCTGGGTCCCCAACCCCTGGGTCCTTGGGTCCCCGACCATTTAGGTCCCTGGTTCTTGGGTCCCCAAATATCAGGGTCATTGGGTCCCCCAACTCCAGGGTCCTTGGGTTCTTGGGTCCCCAACCATTTGGGTCCCTGGTTCCTGGGTTCCTGGGTCCCCAAACTTCTGGGTTCCTGGGTCCCCAGTCCCTGAGTCCTTGAGTCCTTGAGTCCCTGGGTCCCCAAACCTTTGGGTCCTTGGGTCTTTGGGTCTCTGGCTCCCTGGGTTCCTGGGTCCCCAACCACTTGGTCCCTGGGTCCCTGGATCCCCAACCCTTGGGTCCTTGGGTCCTTGGGTCCCTGGGTCCCCAAATCTCTGGATCCTTGGGTCCCTGGGTCCTTGGGTCCCCAACCCCTGGGTCCTTGGGTCCCTGGGTCCTTGGATCCCCAACCACTTGGTCCCTGGGTCCCTGGGTCCCCAACTCCTGGGTCCTTGGGTCCCTGGGTCCTTGGGTCCTTGGGTCCTCAAACCTCTGGTCCCTGGGTCCCCAACCACTTGGTCCCTGGGTCCCTGGATCCCCAACCCTTGGGTCCTTGGGTCCTTGGGTCCCTGGGTCCCCAAACCTCTGGATCCTTGGGTCCCTGGGTCCTTGGGTCCCCAACCCCTGGGTCCTTGGGTCCCTGGGTCCTTGGATCCCCAAACACTTGGTCCCTGGGTCCCTGGATCCCCAACCCTTGGGTCCTTGGGTCCTTGGGTCCCTGGGTCCTTGGGTCCCCAACCCCTGGGTCCTTGGGTCCCTAGGTCCTTGGGTCCCTGAGTCCTTGGGTTCCCAAACCCCTGGGTCCTTGGGTCTCCGGGTCCCCGGGTCCCCAACCGTTTGTGTCCCTGACGCGGTGCCACCGCAGGGATCTACATCGTGGACCGGCGTTTCCGGGCGCCCGAGGAGTCGTGCGCGCAGCTCACAGCCTTCCTCTACGGCTTCTGCCAGCAGAGCCGGCGCCAGCGCATCGTGCAGCGCAACCGCACCGAGCGCCTCTCCGACCTCCT